AACTGCATTCGCCGCGTGTAATGACTCATCTGTTCTGTGCGTTCGCATTCTTGCAAAGGTCAGAGTGAAGGTCAGGCAGCTGTGCAGGTTCATCTCCTCCACATGTGGGTCAGAGGAATCTCCTGTCGGTGCTGCTCCTCTCTCATCTCTCCTGGTTCTTCTCTCCGTTCTCCTCATACATATGCAAAATTCATCTCTGACACACATTCAGCCTGTGGAGGAGAGCCAGGATCGCTGCAGAGAATTATGGGAGCACAAATGCACAGGCTTGTTTCAGGCTGTCAGATGTGAGAGCGTCGAGCAGCCGTCAACATTTAAAAAAAAAAAACCCAGCTTTAACAGCAAACATCGCTCTGTGGATTGTTTTTTTGTTTAATGCTGATGTCTTTAACACACACACACACACACACACGTGCTCCAGTTGGCAGCATTTACATGGAGCTAATTATAGTCTTGACTATAAAAATCGAAACACTTCATCCACGTCCATTCCCCATTTCTCAGATTTAGACTAAATTCCCTCACTCTCCTCTCACTGAATGAGCGTCTTAACCCCTCCCCCCCCCTCGCTCCCACCCACCCATCGTTCGACACTTCTTTCTTTGCTTACGGATGATGTCTAAATGTTAGCTCTGCAGGCAGTGGTGAATATTTGATAGAGAATCATCAGCACGGGGCAGGTTTACACTGTCATGACAGGACGTGACACGTGCAAACAGAACGGCAGATATTTTCGTCTCTGTCCCAATCAGGGCCACTGATACATTTTTAATCAAATTTATTCTCAGAAAAAGGCGTTGAATAATGGAAGATTAAAACGACTGCAGAGACTCGTTTGCAGCTGATGCCCGTTTACACGTGTTTGTCCTGCCCGCTTGTTTCTCCGGCTGACAGACCCTGACCCACTTCACCACATCAGCCGCTCCGTGTTACAAATGCTGTGGTTGCAAATCCTTCGGCTTACAGCAGCACAGCATACAGAGTATGTCATGGAATTGTACGTCCATATAGAGAATTACCCATTTATTTTTACTGGAAGCCATTTAGCCAGAAAAGTGAAAAGCAGAGAAGTGTGACCCATATAACTCTTGTGGGTTAAGACCAACTGGTAACTATCTCTGACCCACACACTCATTTCTTTTCTTCTTTATTCACAAAGCATTAGTTCGTCCCATTTAAGGCACATATTTGTTTGAATATTATTAGAGATTTGTTTATTCTATAAAATAAAATTGCATATATTTTCACGCGGATTAGACTCATGACCGCTAGGTGGCGTGTTTTTACCGTTTGGAAAAATAAAATGATACAAAACTGATAATATTAGAATGAAACCTATGAGAAACTGTCCTTTCAT